GCCTTCCGAACACGATACGGACATTACGAGTTCGTAGTGATGCCGTTCGGACTAACCAATGCCCCGGCCGTGTTCATGGATCTAATGAATCGGGTATGTCGTCCATTCTTGGATAAATTCGTGATAGTATTCATAGACGACATACTCATTTATTCAAAGAATAAAGAAGAGCATGGTCAACATCTGAGGCAAGTTTTAGAGATGTTACGGACTGAGAGACTATATGCAAAATTCTCAAAATGTGAATTTTGGATTAGAAAGGTGGACTTCCTCGGTCACGTGGTCAGCAAGGAAGGAATCCACGTGGATCCATCAAAAATCAAGGCTATCAAAACTGGTCTGCGCCAACTACACCAACAGAAATTCGCCAATTTCTAGGTCTTGCTGGTTATTACCGAAGGTTCATCCAGAATTTCTCCAGCATCGCAAAGCCTCTTACCGCCTTAACCAGAAAGGTGTGACCTACAATTGGGGAGAAAAGCAAGATGCTGCATTTCAGACTTTGAAACAGGCCTTTGCAGTGCGCCCATCCTTTCTCTCCCAGAAGGGACCGAAGATTTTGTGGTGTATTGCGACGCTTCGAAGCAAGGGCTGGGTTGTGTACTAATGCAGAGGGGAAAGGTTATTGCATATGCCTCACGACAACTGAAAACGCATGAGGTCAATTACACCACTCATGATTTAGAACTTGGGGCGGTGGTCTTCGCTCTTAAAATCTGGAGACACTACCTATATGGTACCAAATGCACTATCTTTACAGACCACAAGAGCCTACAACACATCTTCGACCAGAAGGAGTTGAACATGAGACACGACGTTGGGTCGAATTGCTCAACGACTACGAATGTGAGATTCGCTATCATCCAGGAAAGGCTAACGTCGTGGCAGATGCCCTTAGTCGTAAGGAGTACTCTGGCCGAAGAGTGAAGTCATTAGCCATGTCAATCCATTCGCACCTGTCGACACAAGTCAAGGAAGCTCAAATAGAGGCCCTGAAACCCGAAAACGTGACAGGTGAGACCCTTAGGGGAATGGACAAGAATTTAGAAATCAAGAGTGACGGAGCACGCTACCTCATGAACCGAATATGGACGCCCAAGTTTGGTGGACTTAGAGAGGTAGTTATGAGCGAGGCACACAAGACTCCATACTCCGTACACCCCGGGTCAGACAAGATGTATCAAGATCTCAAACAACTCTACTGGTGGCCAAACATGAAAGCAGAGATCGCTACATATGTGAGCAAGTGTTTGACTTGCGCCAAGATCAAAATAGAACACCAGAAACCCTCAGGACTACTCCAACAACCTGAAATTCCTGAGTGGAAATGGGAGCAGATTTCCATGGACTTCATAACGAAACTGCCCAAAACTCAGGGTGGCCAAGATACTATTTGGGTAATCGTCGATAGATTAACCAAGTCCGCTCATTTCCTACCGATCAAGGAAACTGATAAAATGGAAAAGCTATCGAGAATCTACATCCGAGAGATCGTACGACTCCATGGAGTGCCAATGTCTATCATCTCGGATAGAGACAGCAGATTCACGTCTAGATTCTGGCAATCATTGCAAAAATCCATGGGAACAAGATTGGACATGAGTACAGCCTATCACCCCCAAACTGACGGACAGAGCGAAAGAACGATCCAAACCTTGGAAGACATGTTGCGAGCATGTGTAATCGACTTTGGTAAAGCATGGGATGTTCACTTACCTTTGGTTGAGTTCTCTTATAACAATAGTTATCATACTAGTATCAATACTGCTCCATTTGAAGCCCTTTACGGCCGTAAGTGCAGATCACCTCTGTGCTGGACGGAAGTGGGCGACACACAACTAGCAAAAGGTCTAGTCCCTGATAGCACCCTCACTGGTCCAGAGATCATCAGAGAAACTACTGAAAAGATCGTGCAAATACGAGAACGACTGAAATCCTCGAGGGATAGGCAAAAGAGCTATGCCGACAAAAGACGTAAACCCTTGGAATTTCAGATTGGCGATCGGGTACTACTGAAGGTCTCACCCTGGAAGGGCATGATACGCTTTGGAAAGCGTGGGAAGCTAAATCCTAGGTACATTGGACCCTTCGAAATCATTTCAAGGGTTGGTCCAGTAGCCTACAAACTCCGACTTCCAATAGAGCTTAACAAAGTACATCCAGTATTCCACGTATCAAACCTGAAGAAGTGTTTGTCCGACGAAACACTTGTAATTCCACTCGATGAGATCGAACTAAATGAAAATCTTAACTTTGTGGAAGAACCCGTCGAGATCATGGATAGGGAAGTTAAACGAACTAAACAGAGTCGCATTCCAATAGTAAAGGTCCGATGGAATGCTAAGAGGGGACCTGAGTTCACGTGGGAACGAGAAGATCAAATGCAACAGAAGTATCCACATCTCTTCCCCAGCCCCTAAGACTCTTCTTTTGTATTAAAATTTCGGGACGAAATTCCCTCTAACGGGGGGATGATGTAACAACCCGTTATTTCAAGTCAGTAAAAATCGAGTCCTGTAACCTCTTTGAGAAAGGAATTAGAATATCATCGAAAAATGAAGTATTCAAAAACTCTATTTGGAGTACACTATGTGGTAGTTATCGTCTTAAGGTTTCCAAACATATAAATAACACAAAAATCCGAGTTATAACGAAGAAGTTATGATCATTCTAAGTTTTCCGACAAAAACCGGCAATACGAAGTTGCGTAAAAACGCAAAGTTTCAATAAAACACTTTCCGACCTTAGGTGTCTAAATGAAAGTCGTAGATATCGTTAAACTACAAACATGCATAAAAAGAACGCTCAAATCGGACATCGTATGAATAAGTTATGAATTTTTAAAGAAATTCCTTAATCACGTCATTTTAATAAATAAATAATAAAAATAATTCCGGAATTTGCCAACGGAATCTAAATGAAAGTTGTAGATCGTAGTCTCACCTTCGCGGGATATAAAGAACGTCAAAAACGGAGTTCGTATGAAGGAGATATGAATTTTCGAAGTTTGATAAATAATTTATATATATTTTTATTAAAACTTCGGTATTATCCGAAGGGGAGTCAGCGTCCTCATCCGAGGTACGCGCTGCGTACTCCTGTACGCCCCGCGTACCCGAGGAACTTGGCCTCAAACCGTCCACGTCGCCCTATGCGAGGCATCCGACCCGCCCGTCCGACCCGTCCCATCCGACCCGACTGCCTGAGCCGTCCCATCCGAGGCCGAGGCAGTCGAGGCTTCGGTCACGCATGACGTACGCGTACGCGCTGCGTACGAGCGTACGCCCCGCGTACGAGGCCTCTCAGGCCCCCTATAAATAGCATGCGAGGGTTCCCGGGAAAATGGCCATTCTCTCTCCTTTTTCTTGCGTTTTACCTCGTTTTCCGTGCTCGCACTACCCCGAAGCCCTGGTCATTTTGTGCAAGTCCCGAAGGTCGATTTTTCTCCCGAGGAATCCCGAGATTTCCGAGGAAAATCCATTTCCCGAGACGAAACTCTGCCCGGTTTTCCATCTTGCTATCTTCAAACTTTCAAGTGAGTTCATACCCCTTTCAAACACACTTTAAATACATTTTAAATGCTTTTATACTCTTTTAGGGGGGGAATACAAGTAAACATACGGTTATTATCGTGTATTTTATAAAGTTTCACTTCACTTGTTTTATCGAATAAATCACTTGGAACTCATTACTATTATGGAAAACTCTTGTCATACTTTGCGTGCATTAGACTTATACAAAGTATATAATGATTTCAAAGTACTTTCATTGTTAAGTCGTTTTATACATTCTAAAAACTTATGATTTTGCTTTGTCAAACATTGTGAAAAAGGATAAACTTTGCATAGAAAACTATCACTTTAATACGGCTTAGTTGAGAATCCATGAGACGTGTATATCTTCAAACGTTACTTTTCTTTATTAGAAAGTAATGCTGCAAGTCCTGTCTATAACCAGAGTCTCCCGTTCGGAGAACGTGTCAAATGTGTATAGATCTATACGGGAAGTCATGATCCCGCGCCCTGACTGTTAGCTACAGTCCGTCTTTTGGGGTGACAGTTGTCATAACGCTGCGACGCCTGAAGAACGTCGTTACAGGCATATTATGTTTAGTATGGTTATAAAACTCATCGGATATACAATTATTATGGTATTATGCTTTTATGAACGAGTAGCTATTAAAACTATTCTTCATCTAATAAATGCGATCTTCGTATAGTTTTACTATAAAACTATGACACAACTTTTGAGAACGTCGGTTTCTTGCGATTTTCGGTCTTAGAGACTGCCATTTATGTTAGGAAAATAAGGGTTTCTCCTGCATACAAACCAAACAACTAATAGGAAAATAAGGGATTTTCCTGGTGCAATTATTTACAACTTATAACACGAACATTATATGCATTTCATACTTTTATAAGAAAATAAGGGTTTTTCTTGGAAAACACAACAACTCGTATCTCAACCATTAGGGAAAATATGGGATTTTCTGGATCTAATACATTCACTTTCAACACAACAAATCACAACTCTTTACATTTGAAATGCTGCGTTTTCTGGAAAATATACACCCATTTTGGAATGGCATCCAATTTTTCTAAACTACTTATGAACTCACCAACTTAATTGTTGACACTTTTTCTTTGAAATAACTTGTATTCTCAGGGAACCGCTAAGCAGGTTTGGGAATCAACTTTTGGGATTAACGCGCTGGCGTTAATTACTTCTTTTGATGATGTTTATGTATTTATCTTTTGAACATGTAATGAATACAATTATGTAAACATCTTGGAAACTTTAATATATATGGTGGTGTGTACTTTCCTTTCTATGAACTGTTATGATACTGAATATGACGTCCTCCGCCCCGAACGTTTCCGCCGTTCTGGTTTGGGGG